TGCCGAACGTTGCCGACCCCTAGTTTAAAGTTTAGGAGGCTGAGGCCTCAAGTCTGACCTACGCAATATACATTAGATGTTCTCTAACAGTGCATCATCATGTTCATTTGTTTGAAGGGTCAGTTCTTATTTATGGGCTTTTCTGTTTCTGCCCTTGGGAATCTATTTTCCTATGTTACTCTGGTCTGTATTCATTCATTTTTCCTCCACGCAAACTCTACATTAATTTTAACCTACATATGCTATGCATTTAAACCAAATCAGGACAAGTTCTCTAGCATTTAATTTAGTTCCCTAGCCATATCATCCTTTCCACTTCAGGTCTGTTCCCACTTTCTCAGGAAAACCCTTGTTAAGTATCTCCCCGTTTTTGAAAAAGTCTGATCATTATGCTATTCATTATCCAAGTGCAAAGTACTCCATTTAGGAAGAAGGGCAAAAAAAAAAAAATCAAATGCACAATTACAAAATGGGGAGTAACTGGGTAGGGAGTAGCACTGCTGAAAAGGATCAGGGAGTTATAGGGGATCACAAATTGAATGATTTATAGTACAATGCAGTTGCAAAAAAGGCTAATATTTTGGGGTGTATTAACAGAAGTGTTTGTAAGACACAGGAAGTAATTGTCCCACTCTACTCAGCACTGGTGGGGCCTCAGCCAGAAGTTTGTGTCCAATTCTGGGTGCCACATTTTAGGAAGAAGGTGGACAAAGGTTTCGAAAACCCAACCTATGAGGAAAGGTTAAAAAACTGGGTATGCTTAATCTTGAAAAAGAAAGACTAAGGTGGGGACCCGAGAACAGTCTTTAAACATGTTAAGGGCATGTATAAAGAGGATGGTGATCAATAGTTTTCCATGTCTACTGAAAACAGACAAGAAGTAATGGGCTTAATCTGCAGCAAGGGAGATTTAAGTTAGATATTTGGGGGGAGAAACCTTTCTAAATATAAGGATAGTTAAATACTGGAATAGTCTTCCAAGGGGGGGTGTGTAAAATTCTCATTAACCTGCTCTTAAAGACCTCCAGTAAACAAACACCTGTCAGGGATGGTCTAAGGTCAGGCCTTTGTTCACACACCAATCCTCCTGCTGTTATATGTGAATTGAAGACATGCTGTCAGTTTAAGATGTGCATAAAGTGAAAAAAACTGTTGTAAAGAACACTGATTAAAATGTTGCTGTCAATTCCTTCAACAAAATCACCTAGCTATTATAATTTTAAATAGATATTTTTAATTCATTCTCTCAAAACTTTTGAAAGCTATTTTTAGAGGGATAGCTCAGTGGTTCGAGCATTGGCCTGCTAAACCCAGGGTTGTGAGTTCAATCCTTGAGGGAGCCATTTGGGGATTTAGTTGGGGATTGGTCCTTCTTTGAGTAGGGGGTTGGACTAGATGACCTCCTGAGGTCCCTTCCAACCCAAATAATCTATGATTCTATGATCTGTTTAAAACAATTTCTCTTAAAACTATGATCTTAAAACAGGGACAAAACATGGAAGCCAACTCAGGTGGCAAATAGAGTTTTTAGAGTAATGTTTGTAAAACAGTTCCTATATGTCTGCAACCTGCTGTATCAGACCACAGAACAAGGCTGAGAAATACAGACATTCATTAACATGCTTACCTGCAGCTGCACTGGTGGATGTAACAGATGCAGAAGGTAAAGCAGAGTTTTGAAGAGGTCTACCTGCATTTTCAGAGGGCAGAGAACTAGTGGTAGAAGGAATACTCAAAGGCTGCGAAAGAGATTGGTTCTTATTCAATATTTGGCTCCCTGAGAGAGCAGCAGATGGATTCTGAATTTGAACTTGAGACATGTTCACTTGCAACCAAAGTGAATTACTAAAGGTAGACAGCTTTGAATGCAGGTTAATTCAGTGCGATGGAACCTAATGGTCTACCTAAAAGGTTGTAAGGAAGAAAAAAAAAAGATTATACCAAATATTTAAGTTCCAATAATTCACAAACATGATTGGAACATCAGTATGTATAAGAAGTTTATAACTGGAAAATATCTATTAGATTTATTTCTCTATTATTAAAAAAGAGTCCAAACATTCTTCAAGCACCCCATTTTGTACACAAAAACTCACCTGCATCCCAACAATTTTAACAAAATATTTCAAAGTGCATAAACTTCACATTGGTTTAGTTTACAAAACAGAAAAGGACAGTAGTTACATTTATTCTTGCTCATTTAAAATTACCTAACTGCCCATCTCTTTTCTACATCATCGTTGAATCCACTTTCAAAGCAAATCCAGTTACATGAGTTGTTGCTAGTATACAAAACAGAACAACTTTCAAAATTATATTACATTTCAGCTTTGTTGCTATTTGGAATTGGTCTATAACTCAAAAAGATCAGCAATAATGTGGTCTTTTAAAAAAGAACAGTTGCTCAAAGCAAGTACACAACCATATATTTGATTTGGAAGATACACACACTGTGGCTTTCATTGTATTGTTCACCTTTTCTGCGTAGGTGACAGCAGTCAATGCTAACATGCCATTACTCTACAGCAGCGGTTTTCAAACTGTGGGTCGAGAGTTTGACACATATCATACATTAGACAGAACATTCCAAATGCATATATAATTGAATTAGAAGGTGCCTTATTCACAGTTCATACATTATGATAGCACTGTTCAGTTTTGTGGCCCTCTAGCCAAATGTTAGAAGTGCTCTTAAGCAACTGTCTATTTTAAATTAGACGTAACCTCCAAGTGACAAACTTATACGAGTAATTGTGAAGTACTATATATGATCGCACTTTTCTCCACTAACAAGTTAGTGGTAGCATTCTGCTTTGCATGGGTGCAACATTACATTCATGCCCAGACAGTTCAGCTTAAATATACACTAAAACTGTCAGTTTGAAGATATTACATCTGCCAGAGCCAGCTGCCAATATCCATTTACCAGCCATCCAGCAATTTACTGTTTCAAAGTAAATTTTTACTTCCAAGTTTACTACTAATGTATTTTACACACACACTTCCCAGCTGTAGATTTCTATAAAACCTAGCTTGCTGGCAAAGGTTTATGTCTGTATGACTTTAAGATGAAGAATACAAGTGAAATTGCTCATCCAGAATCCACTCAGGTGCTATTACTAGCAATACAACTATCCACATGTTCTGCAGGCTTCAAATTCTGAGCCTGTGAAGAGACTTCCAAATGTAGGAAGGAAAGGGGGATGACTCAAAGGGTATGTCTACACTGCAACCCACTGGAGGTGGCATGTAGTATCTGAGTAGCTACATGCCACAGTGAAAAGCAAGCTGCATTCATGCTGCAGCATGCATGTAGCTAAACGTGTCAGTGAAAGACTCTGGTAGGGGGAGGCAGCAGGGAAAGGGTTTGGCAGCAGGGAACTGCCAGAGCCTTTCCCTGCGTTGAGGAGGAAGTGGGACAGGCATTACATGGCTAAAAAGAGCAGTAGTGAGAACTTGTATTCATGAATATACAAACACTGATTTTTTGTTTGTTTGTTTTAAAAAGGATTGAGGAAAAACTTCTAGAAGGCAAAGTGATAATTTTGTAAACAAACTTCCATTACCAATCCAGTAGACTGAAAGTCATGTAATATTTCAATATTTGTATTTGGTGGCATTTCTGATAAATGGATCTCAACTGGAGGTTTTTGGTCTACTAGACTCACTGATTTTGATGCTCCTCTTCATATTCCTAAACTTTTTTGTTGCATTTCCATTAAGTCCCCTTTAAATACTCTGGATTCTGATTCCATGCCTCAACAAAGGTAGTCATTGTTTCTTTATCTACAATTGATCATGAATGAATTAGGTTTAGACAACTAGGGGTAACATCTTACTTAAGTATGCATCTTTCCTTATGTTAGTAAAAGTTACTCTGGCAAGAAGGAAATTTCCTCTTTTCAGATCTGAGTATCAAGATTTTTGTTTATTTTCTACTGAAGTGGGAACATTCAGTCCCACCTGAATGACTGAATATATTTTTCATATTTGTTAAGAATGGAACTTTGAAGACTATCATACTGTAGTTAAAAGCTTGTGTGGAGTTTCTTTCTGGGATTAATAGTTACCTTTCCTGTTATGATTTATGTACTCCATGTGTGTCTGAGGATTCTGTACAAGATTGCTTGTGTCTGATGCAAATTACTTGCTTGCATATTTTCACCTTGTTTTGTAGTAGTACACAGTTACATTTTTTAAATATTTGCAGATATATACATAGTGAAAGATTAAAAGGTTCCCATTTCCATTATTTTAAAAATAAAAATACTAGCAAGCATAACAGGGACCTTATGGCACTTGACAAATATTCAAAGCAGTTTAAATTCTGAATCTCTGAAGTGCACTTCTCCCTCATTATGTTCTGAGGGCTAAAAAAGGATTTTCCTGCTAATTCAACCTCACTTTGTTGCCAGCATAAACTCTAAAATGCCATGAGTGATTCATTCTAAATGCTTTAGCTCGCAGAACAGAGAAAATTAGTTCAGACAAACTAGTTTTTCATATATGCAGCAAATGGTCTTAAATATCTGAGAGCAAGCACTGTATGCGCCTATCAAACTTATAGAATTTTCACATTTGGTACACCAGAACTGTAGTCAATAACTTGTCAGAGTTTATAAAGAAGGACCTGGAGGTTGAGAGAAGGTAAGATGCAGTACATTTAGAAGGTGGCTCCAGAGTAACAACATTATAGCCCTTACATCTAATTACAAAGAGTATATGTCTGAAAGCGCTGAAAGAGTCTTGACTTTAAATGAAAAAATAATTGGCCGAGTGAAACGAGATACCACGCTCAACACAACTAAAGAGTAACATCTTACAAATAGAGGAAATTATTGAATCTTCTCTTCCTTCGGTCTGTCTGAAGTAATATCATGCCCCTTAAAACATAATTTACACTGCTTTTCTGAAAGCTTAAAGTAGAAACCAAGTTCTAAAGTGCAGTTCCTTCACTGAAAACTCTGCCCACAGCTCCCATATGTTTAAACCAGTGCAGTATTTTTCAGTTGAACTTCACTACTGTGGTACCAAATAGGAAGAGGGAATCTCAGGTAGCTAAGCTGTAAAACAAACATTAAATTGCACTTTGAATCAAGCTAGCAGCAGTGCAGAAAATAGAAAAAAATTAATTCCTGTGGGAAACTGCTAACTAAGGCTATGTCTACACTAGAGATTTTTTCACACCCATGAGTGACATAAGTTATGACGACAAAAGTGCTAGTGTAGACATTGCCTAAGTGAGCCACCAAATTCATCTCTAGAGGCAGTTTCCAAAAGGTCTTCAATGGTAAAGCAGAGTCCTGTAGCAGGTACTTCACTATCTAAAATGTAACTAAGCTCTGATTTTTTTGTCCTTTAATGATTTTTCTGCTTGGTTATTGTACTGCAAATACACTAGATGCTTAAAAAAGCAAACTGAAATGCTAGTGTTCCAAAAACCTTTCAGCTTGCATTGTCACAGTAATACTGTTAGCACATAAATACTAATGAGGTACAATAGTTAATTTAATTAGGAAGTTACCAAAGCACTTTCCATGCTTTTATCAAGGGCATACTGCCTTCCATAATCCCCTCATTGCTTGCTATTTAGTCTATTTTGCTCACTGGATGATGACTAGAGTTTAATTTTATGTGCCTATTTCTAATGTTTCACGCTGCTCATTAAATATTTCATAGGTTTTCAAGTCAGCACTAAGGTCTACCAATGAGCATAATTTTTAAGATTTCAAAGAGACTGGCTAGCTAAATTAAACAAGTATAAAAACTAACCTATTCAGATGTTTTGTATGTCTCCAAAATTGCTGGTTTAAAAACACCATACGATTAACTACCGCAAGAATGTGCTACATGCTGGAACCCCAAAGATTATAGCAGCTACTAAAATGGAGTTTATTTTTAAGCAGATTATGAAACAATATTTTACAGAAATGACAGCATCTTTCAGCCTAAAGAACATACATACCAGCACAAAAACACTGATTGCAACTTTTCTGGACAGATTCGCAGTCCTTGTAGCAAGAGAGAAAGTTTGACTTTTCTTTTACAAATGTTAAAATATAGGTCACTAACACATTCCTCTCTGTAACAAATGTGGCTTGTTAGATGTTTGTGGATGCCAAATCTAAAATTTGGTGACACTTTATTTTTAGTTATACAAACTTAAGACTAGAAAAAATAATGAAATTAAATCACATGTGAATATGTACATTGATCACACTTACACTGTCAAAGCAACCCAATGGCTCAGAGTTAAATTTTTGCAGAAATAGGAGATATTTAGGCAGAAGCTGCTGAAATTTGTACCAACTTCCTGCCATGAATTCACAGAGCCATTCAACACCACCCAGATTTCTTTTTCTAGGTGATCATTCTTGAACAATTTCATAGGTTACTTGGTATAAGCCTCTGGGGATAATAGCAACACAAGCCTGTTACTTCCTAAATACTGCTTAGTTCAGAATATTGTTAATCACTGCCATGCTAAAAGTGCTAATCCATCAGGGTGCAACCAAGATAAAAACACAGCAGAATGCTAATTTAATTCTGTGTGCACATCATGATCTACTGGGATCAGTACTTCCCCAATCAATACACTTTTGATAGTCAGGGACATCCATTAGCAGCCACACTGCCTCAAATGTGAGTATGTACTTAACAGGATTAGCCAAAGTTTTCATTTGACTTATTATGTTTGAGTTTTCCCTGTGTTTCGTGGTTTAGCTTAGAATGTTATGGTTCTAAGTCTCCATACATTTATTCCTGTTTTCTTCTGCTCCTTTCATCCACAAGGTGCTTACTACCTAGATCTTGCAAAACTGCTCTAGTATTTTTTGCAGGGAAGCAAGTCTCGGAGTAGAATACTAGTTACTTTCTATATTTACTGTGGAGGACAAAGGGATGGAGCTTCACATACAATCATAGCTCAAATTAAGTTCTACATGGATCAGTCTCCATCAAGAGTCAGACAACAATATTAACCCTGAAAAAAATTCCCTAGAGAGAACAATGCTTAAGATAGAGAATTCAGCCATTATCCTAAAATTCTATAGAAACTCCAGCACATGACCTAGGACTTAAAGCAATAAGATTTTAGAAACTAATCCAAACGTGAACAAATTTCAGCTGTTCCCATTCCAGAACCAGACAACAAAATTGCTGTAGAGATGTTCATAGGGTCATAACTTGCTTCTTCTTTTCAGCCTACAAACCAACCACTCAAGTTTGAGACAAAGGCCTGGCAGGGTTTAGGAAACAGCTGCTGAAAGTTTACCTCTTTGCTTGGAACAATGATATGTAGTTTACCTCCCCTCCATGCACCCCAACATCCACTCCCCCAACTTTCAAATAAATAACTTGAAAGAGCTCAGCTTTTGTTTATCCTCTGGGAATTTGAGATGAGATTTCCAGCCTCAAAAGAAACCAAGTAACAGCATTTAAATTAAATAGAACCACACAGCATTTTTCTGTGCCTCAATTTCCATATCTGTAAAATGGGGACAATACCATTCACTATTCCTTTGTAAAGTGCTTTGAATCTACAGATGAAAAGTGCTATATAGGTATTGAACGTTATTATGGAGATCCCCAGCAAACAATGTTGGCAATTTAGCAGGCAAGAAAAATGCACCAAACAAAATCATGAGTGCTCTCTCCCATCACTGTTTCTAGGTGGCAGTAATGTCTGCCCAAATTGGAGATTTGAAAGAATCCACGATGAGCTAAAACTTCACTTGAAGTATAATTGCCAGCTTGTGGCAGTAGTCATCTCTTAACATTTACCCTATGCCAACCAACTGTTTGAATACATGAACCCACAGTTTATTTCCATACCTCAAGATGAATTTGCTATTTAAAAAAAAAAAAAGAAAGAAAACTGAATCGTGTTGCAGGTGAAATTTTTCTAATTAACCTATCCTTTTTATCTGTGTTACTATCAATGTACACAATGCTTGTTTGTACATAGATATAACTTGTTTGTTGTTTGATGCAATCCTCATTACCTAGTTTGCTCCTTCAAGCAAAGCCCATTTATATTTATACTCCAATTGCATCATACCTTGCCAGATGCACAGACATTACCAATCTGGAAATATATCAGCATCAACACTTATTCTCAGAGGAGGGAAAGCCTAGGAATGTTGTATTCAAGAATTAATTCTTCTTGTGAAGCAGATATTTAACTAATTCTATAGGTTTATTTTTAAGAAGTCTCCATTTATTTCATTTCTGGTACTGCAAACAATAAGAAATATAGGAATGGCCCAGAGAGGACTTCTATATAACATATATATACACTTTGTAAAATCAAATTTGAGAAATATTTTGACAGAACTCCAAACAGCGCACAAAGCAAGGTGTCCATTTATTGGTGAAATTTAAACTTCTTAGGTAGCCAAACTACTGTAACTGATTTGTACAAGTTACTCATTAAGCTATTGCGACTGACATTCCACTCAAAGCAAAAGCTTAATTATAGGCCATGTTTTAGCATCTATAAAAAAAATATAGGCAATAACCTTTACAAATTAAGGCGACACGTGTCCTGTAACAGAAATTTAGACTGTTTTAGGTTGCCACATACAACAGAAAACTTGAGACTTAGGTTGATATTGACATTTTACAACTGAAATAGAAAACTAAGAAAATACTCATGTATTAGGTGAAAAAAAACCAGATAATTTCCTTGCTAGCTGCATTCAAAAATTAATTAAAAGAACATTTTGAACTCCTATAGGACCTTTTGTTTGATGGCAAATACCTTACAAACTTTAGGGTGACCCTTGTGAGATACAGGTAGCAAAACTGAAGCCTAAAGTCACAACGAACAGAGGCAGAGTACAGAAGTGAACACAGTGGTTTTGCTCCCAATCCTTTTCTCATTAAGATACTTTTAGATCAGAGAATCATACTTCGTAGCTTCTGTATGCCAGCCTCATTGCACACACCAGGGGCTTCTTGTATCCTCCATTCCCCCAACCCCATGGTTCCAATTTGCCACTCTTACATCCCCACTTCCCCTTCAGTTCAGGGACATAGTACCACCTTAGCTATTTACCCATTTGTAGTTTATTAAATTAGTTTTCTTCTTTCTGCCTAGGAGATAAGGCAGAAAGAAGAACATTTTAAACTCCATTGGAATGATGAGCAGAGTTTAGATGGGGAATGTTGTTATACTGGAAGGTGTTGGTAGTTTCCATTAACCAGTTCTTTGTTCTATAAACAGTTAGAGAGCTTATTAAAGTTGATGGGTGTGCTAACCAGATGCCAGGGACTGTATCGCACTCACTCTCACATTTTCCTCCTCCTGGTTTTCCAATTTTTACCAAAAATCAATAGGATTCTGTCTATTGATGCCTACAATATTCCCTGAAATTTTGGGAGTATCGGGAATGGTAGTCTAAAGTTATGTTACATCCAGAGAAATACTATCAAGTTGAGTTTACGGCCTCATTTCACTCAGCCAAAAATTGTCAGATTTCTGTAAGAAAAAGTTATGCAAGAAAGTAATTTTTTTCAGGTAACTTCTTTTTCAGGTAATTTCTTTAATGCCAAAATTATTAGAGGTGTTTCAGATAAGTTAAAGTACACAGGGGGAAAAAGAGCTCTTTTCCACTGTGTAACAGAATATTGCCAGTTAATAACCTCCTTGAATATTAGGTTAAAAAAAAAAGATAGCCACTATAAGTGATAAAAGTTATTGAATCATAGGTTTAATGTTTCCTGTACCTTTAGGTGATCCAGGGACAGTGAAGTTTTGGTTTTAGTTCCAAGGAGGGTATTTATGTTGGAGAAAGCCTAGGAAGAAAATAAATGCAGTGTTAATAATTTGCTTTGTGAAGCTACTGAAGTATTTTAAGGTATTCTATAATTAACTGATCATTGCTAAAAATTATCGTCGGGAGCAATGAAGAAACTCCTGAATATGAGGGCAAAATTGTCCAAAGTGTAGCTGAGAGTGAAGACTGCTTGAAAATTTTGGAATTGGTTTTCAGAAAAATGTTAACTCCACATATATTTTAAGTTTCTGAGGCTTGTTTTATAAGATGCCTTCAATATATGCATTGTAAGTATTTAGGCTGTGAATTTCAGAGGGGCCTAAGGGGGTTGGGTGCCTAACTCCCCATGACCATTGAAAATCTCAGCCTTAGACAAGAACTTACATAATTGTACTCTCCCTGACAGATGGTAAAAAATGAAGCTCATTTGTAAACAATGCAGAACTACAGCTTGATTTGACAACCCTCCTCTTCCTGCTCCCCTTCCCTAATCCCAACTAACCTCCGTTAGGGATGCCTACTGTACGGAGACTATATTGCCATAGCTATACTGGCACAACCCTGTAGTGTAAATGCAGCCTACACTAATGGAAGAGGTTTTCCAGGCAGTATATGAGGAACACCACATCCATGAGCTACAGCAGCTACGCTGATGGAAGCATTCTTTCATTGACTTATCTGCATCTAAGCTGGGGTTTAGGTCAAAATACCTATGTTGGTCAGGGGTGTGTTCCCTCCCCACCCCTGACTGATATAGCTATGTCAAACTACTTTTAAGTGTAGACCAAGCCTTAGACTTGGAGAAATGGCTGGAATCATGAAATCCATCAATCCTGCTCTTCGCCTTGCTATAAGGGTTGCTTAAGAATATGATTTACCCCCTCCACAGCAAGGCCTGATCTTACTGCCATGTGATCTAACACTGGAGGACTAAGATCAGATAAGGGAACAGAATTTATGCCTCCTCCACAGAACCAATGCATTGCAATGCACTACACAGAGAAACAGATATCTGATAGCCTTATTCAAAAATTGACTTTTGCAACCATCTTTAAAAGTTACAGTAACAGCTGTGCACACAGTGGTATCAGTTAAAGCTCTGGCATTGTGTTGCAGAATTTTTATGAAGTCTGGTTCAATAGAAAAAGTTTAACAACTACGAATCAAACGCTGCAGCCCTTACTTAATACAAGGTGAGTTTTATATGACTATTGACTATCAGGGCCCAGGTCAGGCTCCTTAATATTTCTGATTAACTTCTTGTGTTATATACTGATATTATGCGGTAGAAGTAGGAAAGGGAGAAAGCAGAGATACTGATTAGTAAAAGTTCCCTAAAGAGTTAATGTCATATATTTTGTTAAAGGTTTAAAACTTAAGTAACATTAAAGCAATAATTTCAATGTTCAAACTTGGTCATGTCTCATAACTAAAAATTATGTAGTTAAATGCCAGGTTTGTTTGTTTTTTTTTAAAGAAAGAAATGCTTTCGGTACTAAGATCAAGTCAGTCACTTGCAATTTTAGACCAATCCTACTCAATACATTTATGGTTTATTTTTTTGACAGACATTACACATAGCATGCCCCCAGTTTTGCCTCTGGGATCTTGAAAATTAAAATTTGTTTCCTACTCAGTTATTTCCTACTATTTTATCAGAGAAGGTGGATGGTCTCTTGGCACTGCAATGATTTTTTTGACATAAGCCAAGACTGAAAATAAGTCCCAAAGTAGCATTTCAGTCCCTAGCATAAAAGTCTTATAACTATCTTACTAGAGCCAAAACTTTAAAGACAGGTTTAAGTTTCTCTCTCTCCATAGGATTTTCACCTGGATAGTACAAAAAAAAATAAAAGTATTCCTCCGTTGCAGCAATACAGCCTCTGAGAATGTACTTTGCAGAATGATCGTAACCATTTTCAATAGCTGGATATTTCTTAAATGCTTGGACTTGTTGTCCTTTTAATCCCCTTCTCACTGTTCTATAAGTGACCTTCCTCATAAAATCCAAATGTTACCATCCCAGAACATTGTGTGAAGCAGTTCAAGGATATGCATCAAGTATTAAATTTAAAGTTTTATGTAAAAAAAAATAACTGACCACGTGAAGGTTTGACCTTCAGTCCACGCACCATGTGTAGTTTTTAGTATACTGTACTGTGTCTAATTGTAAACAAGGTGGGACAGGGACAATTTCTTCTGTACTTATACCACACAGCAGTATACAACAGAAGACTGAAAAAAGAAAAGATGAGAAAAGGGCCGTGCAATAAATAGTAGCTGACAAGGAATGCTCAATTTACACAAATGAAAATTGTACAAGACGTACTAACATTTCCAGCCACTTTTTTTAGATGAACAAATCCAGTTTTTTCTACACTTAGGATATTTTGTAAAAAAAAAGTAATCAGAAAAATGATAGATATAAATAATACAATATCTTACAGACCCCATCACACTAAATTGAGTTGTTATAGTCGTATTCCCCAGAGATATTTAAAAACTAAAGGAATTCTTCAATCACCATAAATATAACAAAAGCCCATATATTATGAACATCTGTCACCTGTGCAGTGACAATCTTCAGAGTGACCTATCACAAGGTAGAAGAATAATTACTAGGGCAGGTTTATGAAGTTTAACATCTAATTGATTGATACATATTTTTCAGAATGATTTTTAAACAAATAAGAGGTTATAGAAATGTATTTTTGTCTATTTTTTAGTTCTTAATTTCAAATGACTAACACAAAACCAACATGGCATCATGTTGATAACATTATTAAACGTCCTCCGATTTGTGTTTAATAATATCCTCTCCATTATCATACTTGTCTAATAGTTGTAAATCAAATAGCTTGTAATTATAAAGAACATAAATCTACTAGAACAGGGGTGGGCAAACTTTTTGGGCCGAGGGCCACATGGGGGTTGCAAAACTGTATGGAGGGCCGGCTAAGGAAGGCTGTGACTCCCCAAACAGCCTAGCCCCCGCCCCCTATCCGACTTCTCCCACTTCCCACCCACTGACTGCCCCCCTCAGAATTCCTGACCCATCCAACCCCCCCTGCTCCCTGACTGCCCTTACCCCTATCCACACCCTTGTCCCTTGACAGGCCCCCCCCCGTTCCCACCTCCTGATCCCTATCCACACCCCTGCTCCCTGACAGACCCCCCAGGACTCCCACGCTTATCCAACCCCCCCATTCCCCGTCCCCTGACTGCCCCCCCCCAAACCTCCACCCCATCCAACCGCCCCCTGCTCTGTCCCGTGACTGCCGCTTGGGACCCCCCACCCATTATCTGGGACTCCCCACTCCTTATCCAACCCCCCGGCCCCCTTACCAGGCTGATCAGAGCAGCATGTCTGGCAGCCGTGCCGCCTGGCTGGAGCCAGACACGCTGCTGTGCTGCTCCGCAGGAGCGAGCAACCCCGCCACCCAGAGCACTGCCCGCGCGGCTGCGTGGCTGCGGGGGAGGGGCCGGGAGCTCAAGGGCCGGGCAGGATGGTCCCGCGGGCAGGATGTGGCCCGCTGGCCATAGTTTGCCCACCTCTGTACTAGAAGCTAGCTGAAACGGGCATGTTTCTAGAAACCCATTTCTGAATGTGTGTCTCCTTTCTTTGAAGGGGGTAGCTACTTTTCTTCTAATTTTAAATACTGTATTGGTTTTCAGAAACTAAGTGAGGGAGTAAAAATAGTAACTGATTAATACGGCACAGTAAAGCAGACTATTTTATGTGCTACTGTACTTTAGCTAAAACTAAAGTCTAAAAAGTATGAGTTATTCTGTAGACAGAATAATTTCTTCCAGTCAGCAACATATTCCTGTTCAGGGGTATAAAAGGAAAGACAGAAGCTTTTATAAAATGAAATATTCAGAACTTCAGTTCAAGAACAGGAATAGTGGTGTTTTTGCCCATTAATACAAAAGACATTGAATTTAGGTTTAAATAAATCTCTTATCTATCTTAGGCACTTACATGGCCCCTATTATAACAGTACCTACCTGCCTCTCAATCTTTCACAATGTCCCTGTGAAATACAGAGTGTTATTATCTCATTTCATAGATGGGGAACAGAGAGGCTAAGTGACTTGCCCAAGGTCTCAGAGAAAGTCTGCGGTGCAGCAGGGTTTTGGTGACATCTGCAATTTTGAAGGAATGGTTTTCATATCACATTCTTTATGAATTATTAATATTCTACACTCACCATATAAAAAAATGAAACTTGCAATCGGACACCTCTGAAACCTCAGTAGAAATAGTAGCGGTGATTATCTGAAGCCCAAAAATTGAGGTCTTGAAAAATTTACCTGACATCCACATAAGTAGAATACTACATCTACCAACCTACCCCAATCAGTGAGAACAACCACCTCCCACAAAGCCACTGAGACGAGGAAGGGTGTGGGAATTCATACAAAGTGCTGTTCCTGAATCCTGCTCAGGGATTCCATCTCTTATTAAATGAATACCTTAATGCCATGAAAAATTATACAAGTTTTGTCAATGTGTATGAATCTACGCTTGGGTCTGTCAGAGATCTGTACAATATATTAGACGTGCCCAAGATGAAGAAGTGGGATGTTTGGGAATTTATTCAACGTCCACTTGTCCTTATTTCCCATTTTTAACTTGATGGCTGGTGGCTACCAAGAAAGATGCTATTATTGTCTCCAATATCAGCCTCTGGCTAGTAAGGGTAATACATATCAAACCCCTTCCCCTCCATCATCTCAAGCCCCCTGACTGTACGGAAGGATCCATTACTTTACATCTCCTCCAGACTCCTCACTGCAGTGACCAGGGGCACTGTCATTCTATCCTTCACTCAGCTTCCACTTCTGTTTTCTCCTTCTCTGTGAATAGTTACAGCATCTTGCCTGTTCATAACTTTTCCAAGTAGCAGTGACACAGACATCGTCAGTTTCACTAATGCTAGTTAGAATCCCATGGCAACAGTGAAACCAATTAAGTCTGCTGTCTGCAGACCCAGGAAGACAGAACCACACTACAAAATGTGAATTTTCCTTACTACAATGAAGGCTACACACTTTTTTAAAACACGGAAGGTTAAATACTGCAAGAACTGATGGCTTAGCTGCCTCTGCTCCTTTCCAGTCTTCCCCTACACCAAATCATTATTGGAACTTCAAGTCCAAATTTCCACGAACTCTAATAGCTTTGTAGAGTTAGGTCACTTTACAAAATACTCCATGATAACCCAATATCAGGGTATGTCTACACTTCAGTAGCATAGATCCAGCTATGCTGCTGTAGCATAGACACTTACTACAGTAACAGAAGGGTTTTTCTCTCACTGTAGCAGTGGTAGAGCTAGGTCTACGGAAGAATTCTTTTGTTGGCCCAGCTGCATCTACAGTGATTGACCTAACTGGGTCAAGTTTTTTCACAGCCCTGTGCAATGTAGCTAGGTCGACGCAAGTTTTAGATGTAAACCAGACCTCAGTGACAATGGCTTGATAACCTGCAGTATGAAGCAGCTCTGATGTGGCTGATTATTTAACTTTTATAATTAGTGTTAAAATAGGATAGCCAAATATTTGTTATTGAAAGGTTTAAATAGCTGCCACAAAAAAGGCACTAGCCCCTCATATTCTATCAATTACAGGAAAAAATGAATGATCAGAATGCAAAAACACTCTAGCTGAGCAAGGTCGTGCTCCTGGACAAACCTTCTATAAACCACAAACATGTTCCTCTTACAAGACCTTGACTAGCCAAGGAATATCTCAAAGCTAATATTTGTGGCACTATAAGATGAGGCTCAAAATAATTCACATAGCTGATAATTTACATGGTGCTTCACAAATACAGATAAGACACCCCAGGAGAGAGGATGTGGATTAATGATAAAAAGAGAAGCAAGTGATAAAAAGCCTAAACAGGGATCTGAAGGAGAAGCAGGAGCAACACTGTGATTTAAAGACACAAAACCAAGAACAGAGAAAGATGTCATTAAGGCAAAGAACGGAGATAACATGTAAGCCTTTAAATGCTAACAGTTTCCACTATCATAAAAATACGTTAAATGAAACTTTTTTATTTATTTTTCTATAACATTACATGGTTTGAAAATACACCCTCAAGCCTAATGATTGTAGTTATCAAAAATACCACACAGGTCTTCTCTATTGGTCCAGTCCACTAAAATAATCAAGACACGTACATGCAGTGTAAATATCAACATCTTCATGTCTAAGAAAAGTTGTCAATGCAACTGTTGAGAGTACTGTTACAACAGGCAAAATGAACTCCCCTTTTTGGAATGATAAATGTGTAAAAATAGTCAAACCACTTTCTCAATTTCTAGATTTACCAATAAAGACTATTAGATGGGGCTTTAAAAATCCAGACACCTGTAGAGTAGAATTTATATTATTCAGTGCCAGAGATATAGGCAGCCCATTTTTTCAATTTACCTCTGATCCTGTAGTTACATCAGCACAATTGCACAGATGTAGGTAAGTCTATGGATGGATTAATATCTACACAGATTGGCTTGACAGATGCCCACACAAGAAAAAATTTAAAAATATGAAAGACTTTCAAGAAGTCTGGCTATTGTAATTTATTTTAGTGTGCTTCATTTTATTTATTTACACATATACACAGTACAGAGTTTTATTTTGTTAAAATGAAATTCTACAACCCAATGAGGATTTTGGACAGGAAAGTGTATGTATGTGTAAGGGGTGGGAGAAATCAACTACACAGGATATGTCTTTTAACCTTGTTAACTGATTGCCAATTAACTTGAAATAGTTAATACCTTTGTAAAGGCTAGTCTAGACACTTCCCAAATGCTTGTGGTTTTTCTAAGCCAATTCCTAGAGTTTACCTTGACCAGCTAACACATGTTAAAACTACAACTTGTCTCATCTATGCTATGATGTTAACATCACCATTAACACATTTAATATATAGTTTCTCCCCCCCTCCAGTATGAACATTACTGCAAGGTACTGTAGTTCCATGTTAAAATTAGAATTATAAGAATTTTAAATAAAACTCAGAAGACCACTGTGTATCTATTTTATAAACTTACTACCCAAGCAGCAGATAAAGGATTATATTGTTGGTCTGGCATTTTTATTTGTTTGTGTCACCGTGATCTTAACCTACCCACTGACATGCACCATGTTCTTCTGCCTCTAACAGGCAAAAACAAACAGAAGGCTGTCCTCTGCGTATCAAGTTAAGATATTGCCTATTGGGGCTCTAACACAATGGGGCAGCAGGTATGAACTAGACAAATGCACCTGTCCCACAGGCTCTAAAACGGGCGGCAGGGAAACAGCTTGCAAAGGAACCTGTTGCTGGTACATCAATTTTTTGGTAGATGTCATGACGGGAAAATGGGGGTGGCTGATACTGTAACTGTCACCCGCCCTGGTGTTACAGGGGATGAGTGGGAAGAAGGGACCCTGGCGCTTCAGCTGCCACCTGCCTATGCACCTGGGGGTCGGTGCCTCCGGCGGGGCAGGGCCCGGGATGCTCCCCTCAACTGCCTCCCGCGCGGATAGGGCGGCGATTCCCACCCAGCGCGGCCTGCTCCCCCTCAGAAGCCTCAGCCAGGGCCCGCTCTGTAACCTGAGCCGCCGCCCCCCCGCTACACCAGGCCGACTCCCCCCAGAGCCCGCCTGCCGCTGCCCGTGAGGACGGGGCTCCGGCTCATCCCCAGGAAGCGGGAGGCGAAGGGGAACCCTGCCCCTGTGCGAGCTGGCGGCGCTACTACCTACCGAGCACCGACTCCCATCCCCGCCGATCAGGGCCCCTGCTGCCGGCCTCGCACACCCCACAGATGGAGACAGCAGAGCCGCCGCTGCCCCACTAGGCCCCGCCGCCGCCCCCCCCCCCCCGTGGGGAATCCGGAGCCGCCCCCCTCTCACCTGGCTGCCTGGGCTGCGGCTCCCGGGCCGGCTGGTGCTGCGGGCGGGCAGGCGGGCGTCTCAGTCCATTGGCCGGGTCCCGAGGCGGGGAGGGGGTCTGGGAAGGGGGGGCGAATCGCAGTGGCGGAGGGAGGTGGCGGACACAGGGCAAACACTAAAGAGAATGAACGCCGGGGGCAGGTCCGGCCGGGGAGGAAATGACGGCACCGCGCCTGAGTAAAGAGAGAGCCAATCAGAGTGGCCACAGCACCTTATAGCACCCGCCCATCTTAGCACCCGCAGCCAATCCGCCAGCGGACCGGCTCGAAGCACAGCCCTTATCCCGGACTGCAGCTCCCGGCATGCGTCGCTCACTCAGACCGCCTCGTCTCCAAGGGGACTACAGCTCCCGGCATGCATCGCTCACTCAGCCCGCCTCGTCTCCAAGGGGACTACAGCTCCCGGCATGCTCGGCTTCGCTTGGGCACTCGGAGTTGAGGGGGACTTGAACTTGACCAAACTTTCCCAAGGAACCAGTCCAAGACGGGCCCCGGGCTGACCTTAGGCCGGAGACCATTCAGCATACAGGGCCTGAAGCCTCGCTCCAGGTTGACTCAGACCCTGGTTGCTGCTGGGGGATGTTTACCCTACCGGCGCAGGGGTCGGGGACAAGGATCCTATGTGGGGGGCGGGGAGGCGCGGGAGAGGGAGGCGCTGCTGCAGTGGTTCTGGTGCGCTTGGAGTCGTTCAGGCCCTTCCTCCCCCTTTGGGCCCTTCTTTCAGGTGGCTGGGAATCCCCCGCCTACACTGTCGCTAGGCGAGAAGGCAAGCAGATGGGGTTTGTGTGTAGTGTGGAGCAAAAGCAGGGCCACTTGAGTTCCAGTTGTGGGCACACCAGAGGGCCAGCCCCTCTTGGCTAGGCGAGGCAGAGCATCCCACTCATGGGAGAGGCGCCCCTGGGGTGTATTTTGTTTGTTTGAGAACACAAGAACAACCATACTCAGTCAGACTGAAGGTCCATCTAGCCCAGTATTCTGTCTTCCGACAGTGGCCAATGTCTGGTGCCCCAAAGGGAATGAACAGAACAGGTAATCATCAACTAATCCATCCCATTACCAGCTTCTGCCCAACAGAGGCTAGGGCTACCATCGCTGCACCTGTCAGCTACTAGCTATTGATGGACCTATCCTCCATGAACATATCTAGTTCTTTTTTGAACCCTCTATAGTCTTGGCCTTCACAACATCCTCGGGGAAGGAGTTCCACAGGTTGACGTTGTGGGAAAAAATACTTCCTTTTGTTTGTTTTAAACCTGCTGCCTATTCCTGCCTGAGCCAGGACCGGTACAGCTAAGTTGAACGTGAAGACAAGGTCATAGACATCCTCTCAACTACAGCAGTGGAGCTAATAGTGACTACTGCATAAGGGAGCGGTAGTTCCAATATGGCACGGTACTGGGAGGTGTAGTCTCTTTCTATGATCTAAATGGAACATTGCATAGTGGGAGGTGTAGTTGGTCCACCCCTAATCTCTAGCTCATAAAAACAGCATAGGTGACAGCTGCTCTATTTAATCCAAGTGAGCTATAGGCCCCTACCAGTTCCCAGAAACAGTAGGTGCTCACTTTCACTATATATTTTAGAGCTGTAGTCCACAAAAACAATGAGGAGTCTAGTGGTACCTTAAAGACTAACATTTGGGCATAAGCTTTCATGGGTAAAAAAAACAAAACAAAACACTTCTTCAGATGCATGGAGTGAAAATTACAGACGCAGCATCTTTATGTGTAATTTTCACTCTATGCATCTGAAGAAGTGGTGGTTTTTTTTAAACCCACAAAAGCTTATGCCCAAATAAATCTGTTAGTCTTTAAGGTGCCACCGGACTCCTCGTTGTTTTTGTGGATACAGACTAATACGGCTACCTCCTGATACTTGACAGCTGTAGTCCAGTGGCTCTCAACCTTTCCAGACTACTATACCCCTTTCAGGAGTCTGATTTGTCTTATGTACCTCCAAATTTCACCTGACTTAAAACTACTTGCTTACAAAAATCAGACAAAAATACAGAAGTGTCACAGTACACTATTACTGAAAAATTAAATTTCTTATTTTTACTATATAATTATAAAATAAATTAATTGGAATATAAATATTGTGCTTACGTTTGTGTATAGAGAAGTATAAACAAGTCATTGTCTGTATGAAATTTTAGTTTGTACTGACTTTGCTAGTGCTTTTTCTGTAGTCTATTGTAAAACTAGGCAAGTAACTAGATGAGTTGATGTACCCCCAGAAGACATGAGTAGCCCCCAGGCTACATGTAGCTCTGGTTAAGAACCACTGCCATAGTCCAAAGCTAGGAAGAGAGTTTATATTCTAGATCAAGTTTCACATACTCCAGAGTGATTTTTAAGCTGTTTATAAGCTGTTTAGTTTGAATTACTCACTGTACCATTTAGCGTCAACAAGGCCCCTGAGCGGGGAGATGAGATTGCAAACTCTGCACAGACGGAAGTAGCATTTGGGGTTTGTTTTGTTGTTGTACATAGCCCACAACAGCATCCTGGTCTACCAGTAGCGACCCTTTATACCATCGTAATACAAATACACCTCTACCCCGATATAACGCGACCCGCTATAACACAAATTCGGATATAACGCGGTAAAGCAGCACTCCGGGGGGGCAGGGCTGCGCGCTCCGGTGGATCAAAGCAAGTTCCATATAATGCGGTTTCACCTATAACGCGGTAAGATTTTTTGGCTCCCGAGGACAGCATTATATCGGGGTAGAGGTGTAATTAGTTTAAAACCATTTAAGATCCTTAGATGGAAGGAAGTATTGCATTGTAATTATGTGGGTGTTAGGGCACAGGTTTAAGGCCAAACAACCCAACATTAAGTGTTCATGTTCCTGCCCTGCTGAACTTTATACCCGCCCCCCCCCCCAATAAAATAGTAAGGAACTTTCTTTAAAAGTTCCTACTTAGAAAATTGTTATCGTATACTCCAAGAGAATGAAAAACTGCAATAAGGAAAAATATAGAGTTTAACTGGTCTCTGCTGAGGAGTTTTAGGGATTGAAGAGTTTTAATTATTGACTTTGAAATAGCAGCCAGTGTGTTATACACTCTCTGACTACAGAGCTCCTGCCTCAAAGAGCATACAGTCTTATACACACACACACACGAATGGTAGAATATTAAAAAATAAGGCCTATCAGTTTATGGAGACTTCTTTTTCTCCGCTTATTCAGTATTTGAAGTTGAGGGCCAGCATCATCATTAGCTTTTAGCATGGTTAAGATTGTGGACTGCTGTTCTGTAAGAAGTCTTGCTTTAAAACTATTTTACTGTTCTGCTGTGTAAGTAAGGAATGTATGGCACACTGACAAATAAAAAATAAAAAATGCCAGTACCAAATGGGCCGAATGGTCAAAAGGAAAGTGAAGAAACCAAAAGACGCCAACCTAATTATCAGAATTGCTCTGATGGCTGAAGCAGCAGCAAATTAACAATCCTAAAGGAAAGGCATATGCCCCCAAGAATAAAAATAAATAAAACCAAAAAAAGGAATAAAAAAAACAGCAACTCCCAGTAGTGACCCAAAATAACGTTGATTGAAAGCAACCTTAACTATTGCCTTTTAATCACCTCAGCATAACACAGCAAGGCTCATAAACTTGCATGGGAACTTATTACTATAAAAAAGGGTGTATTGCCATGGGACTTTGGGTTCGTTCTGCATGGACATTGAAGCTTTGGACACGTCAGACAGAGACCCAGCTCTGCCCTCTCCCTTGTGTGTAGTTCAGCTGGCCACTTGAACTGACCGAGCAACACTCAGGACTGGTAACTATAAGATCCAGCTGAAGAACCTTTTGGGGGGGGGGGGGGTGTGCGCTAATTTTAATGTTTAAATTGTACTTTCAATAAACGTGGTGTATTACCTTATCCCCTAAAAAAAATTCCGTGTGCTTCTTATGAGCATAAGATTTTTGGTGGAGAATAGCGGAGGGGAACATGGTGATAGACCATACTTCTTGTAAAGTTTTGCCTACAGTAAAATAAAATTGATCAATCCTTGTAGAAGTTGGTGTGCACACCCTCGGTCGTAGCGAGCCGAGTAAATAGGGGGAGAACTTAAAGTTTCTCGCTCCAACCTGAGCATCGGAGTAAACTCCGAAGGGTATAGGAGTTTCAGGCGGTATTTCCTGCATTCCTTGTGTAAGACCCAGCTCTGAAGAATATAGGAGGGTGGGCAAATAGTGGTACACAACGCAACAGTGTGTAAATTGGCACCTTTGTAGAAATGTTGAAAAGGAAGCAATCTAAAGATGATGCTTCCAAGGAAGGACTGGGATCACTGCTTTTTGTTCATGAGATTACTCCTTTTAAACAAAATTTGCAAAAATACGGGCACAGTCCATGGACCGAACAGGTACTTGCAAGTGTCCACACTATTTCATATCTAGAAGATAAATTTGCCAAATATATACTGGTATATAAACCTTCGACCCCAGCAAAGAGAGATTCAGCAGCAATTTGGCTACTATGGGAGGCAAGCAATGAGTCATATCTCCGTCTGGCTGCTTGCCAAGAGGAGAATGCCTCCCTGCAGAAGAAGTTTTCCCAAACAGAAAAAAAGATCAAGAAATGGAAGGTACTGGGAACAGGAATACCGAGTCAGTTAGATTCCCTTCGGGACACATTTAGAGAAGGGAAACAAAGGGGAAAAAAGTTAGCAGACCAGGACTGGGAAAAAAATAAGATGAAAAAAAATAATTAAGTGTTACAAGAAATGGTTAAAAATTAACGTTAAAACAAGGCAGAGCCCCTGCCAATCATAATCACTCTGAATCCCTTATTAAACACCTTAAGGAAAAATTGGAATTTGCAACGCGCCAAGTAGCAGTGGTAACAGCAGGAAAATCGGCTGACAGCCCGGAAGACGGCCCCCCTAGCTGGGATAAACCATGGGATCCCTGTGAAGTATGGGATGGAAATATTTGGAATAACAATTCTAAAAGGACAGGACTTAAAAACCCTGTCACAGCCATAAAACAAACTGCGACCACCAAAGTAAGAGACTGGGGGAGCAAACTCCACCATCACCACAATGCCTGTATCTGCCTCCAATCTCCAAGCCATGTCAAAATGGTTAGAACCCCTAACTCAAAATTTTTTTTCT